TTTAGTTTTGCTTAATCTAGAAATATAAATCATAATTATAGTAGTACATAATGCAAGTATTACGCATTATTTAATATCTAATAAATTGTCCCCAATGTTAATAAAGAAATTTGACCCAAGTTTTTTTTTAACAGTTGTCATCAGGTCATGATAGTTTTTGACTCTTTTTTTAACAAGTTTTTGACGTATCAATTTATAAAAAAAAAAAAAATAAATAAAAAAAAAGAGTTTTTGACCCTAAAATTTCATATTTATAATTAGGATATGTGTGCTAATAAATTTTTTCTGTTCTTTCTATTGTTAAACTTCTTCATTACTACATAAACAAAATGCAAAATAATTTCCAAAGACTACATGATCATGATAAAATAGCTAGTTTCAGATAAATAATTCTTTTCTAGATAATATTAACCACCATAAAAACAATTTATACACAATTTTCAATCTATTCAATGTTGAGCGACTCAATCTATTTTTTAAATTAATAATTGCTTTATTTAATTATGCAAAAATATTTAGCCAAAATCATAATTAACTTAACTATATTATTTAAAAAAGTTATCAAGTGTATTTTTTTATTTAAACAAATGTTTTTATAAAAGTATATTTAATAAAATATTAACAAAATTAATATTATTGATCATTCTGAATTTATAAAGATATGTTAAGAATTAATCGAACTAAGAAAACTCCAATAAATTCATATTATATATGTAAATTAGTGAATAGTCCCTAAGAATGTTGATTATTATTTGTTCTTGGTTCAGGATTTTTTTAATGAAATGATTAAAAAAATTTAAATTGTTTTGAAATATAAATACAATGATTATTGAAGCTAAACATTTTTGTCAGAAGTAAATTATTTTATGGTCCCTGCTCGTATAATATTTCACAAATCTGAGATAATTGATTTTTTTATTTCAATTATTCTTAAATAAAATCATTAAGAGATGAATTAAAGTTTTTTGGAGTGACAAATTTGAATTTTGAAACTTAATTAAACATAAGATTTTTTGCTGCATTTCAAATATTGAAACCCCGCACTACATACTTTTTTGACATCTTGTCTCTAAATATTATTTAGTTATCCCATAAAACAACTTAAGAGTACTGAAAATTTGAAAAAGTAATAATACAATAATTAATAAAAAGTAATAATTTACTTAGTACTTTCTATTAATTATTGTAATTAAGTACAGTAAAAGTTTACCAAAATTTTATGCTATTGGTGGATGGTCCCTCAGGTAAAAATATTACGCTTAAAATTGTCAATTTATTCTTAAATGTAATTCATAAAAGAGGGATGGAAATTTTGAGGTTATGAAGCTTTGGTATTCTTGACTGCTCTGAGGATTCACATGGAAATACGTAATTAGTGAATGATCCCCAAGTCACATTTTAAATTAATTTTTTTTTAAAAACCATAATTTTTCGTCAATCCGACCAGCTGCGATTTTCCAATCCAACAGCTTTTTACAACTCGGTCCCCTGTTTAACAGTTTCTTAAACAAAAACGTAACTTTCTAAGTTCATGTAACTAATTTTAAAAGAAATAAAAGTTTGTATTATAAAAACAACCAACTATAATCAAGAGGAAAATCTCCACACACAAAAAAAGAGCGAGTTGATAAAGGTCTCCTGGGTTTGATATTAGCAACCAGTTTTGGAACCATATTCTCCAGTATGCGATTATCTCCATAATACGAGGATCAAGAGTCCAAATACGTCAAAAATGTTCTAGTGTACAAAAGCATATAATAAAATTTTAAAAGGGTTCACTTTATTCGGTGCCAAATAAATACAAAATCATACACAAAAGTAAACTTTTTTTCTTTTTTTGAAAAATGTATACTTTTTTAAGTTTTTTTTTCGGAGGCAGTGGCAAAAAAATATGGGGGGAGGGCAACAGTCTGAATGTGGAATACATACATTGTACCACCCAATAACTTTGTCCGGAATGCGTGTTTGGGGAACTTTTTAAGCAATATTTAAAAAAAAATTTCGCTTTTTTTTAACAAAATTTAAAGATATTACTTTTAAAAAATTCACTCAGAAAGTATTGATTGAATTTTAAATTACAAATTTAAAATTATGTGAAATTATTTTTTAATTCATAACTTTTTCATCCATCATTAAATAAAATAATGAATCTTTATTCAAAATTATTTTTGCTTACAATTATCTTAGGATAAACAAGTTTTGTAATTGCGTGAAAAACTAATTCGATTTGTTTAAAAACTTCCAGAGATTCGAAGTACAGGTAAGACTATTTTGATTTATTAAATTAACAAGTTTTTTTTTTCAAAATTTCAATTTGTTTGAAAGTTATTGCAATTTTAAGTGCTTTTTTGTATTTTGTTTTCTTTAAATAATAATTATTTACCCACTATTGTAAAAATTTAGATAATTATTTACCCATTGTTTTAGAAAAATTTATCTCTCTCACGATTTTCATTTTATAAAATCGCGCTGATCAAAAGTTACACAAAAGGAGAAAAAAACGTATGAGTAAAAATTAAAAGAGAAAGTTTAAATGCTGTCAGATAAAAATATTTATGTTGAAATTTTATAAAATACAAAAGTTGAAAACAGAACAAAGCTGAACAGAATAATAAAGGTTACAGTTATAAGATATATGTAAAGAGGTAAAAGACACAATGTTACAAAAATTTAATTTTTGAAGAGAGCAGATGTTAGTATCTTATAGCATCTAAGTTATTTATTATCTTTTTTACGACTAACTTCGCGATTTATCATGACATGACATAGTACTCTTAGAATCTACAACAAGGACAAGATATCAACTCAATTTTTGGAACAAATGGACTTAATGTCATTTACCTCCAACATATATATTCTTAACAAGTAAAATAACTTCGTATTCACTACTTATTATTATTGCGCCGTCCGTGCTGTGCTTCATTTTTTTTAATACGTTGAATATTTTTAAAATTCAGTATCCTTTTATTTCGTTACGTTAACATATTAATAAAATTTTGGCAGCATGAAATTATAATAATTATATATTTTATAAGCAAAATAATTTATATATATATATATATTGTACATATATATATGTGTGTATGTATGTATAAACATGGATTTACATTTTACATACGCAAGTAACATTTGCACAAAATGCTTACATTCATTGTGTATAACTGTACATGTCTACATTGTTTGCGCATGCATACGTAATTGTTAGCTTTACACATATGTACATATACTTTATACATACAATATAAGTTCATGTATATGAGTGTGTAATTAAAATGCCCGTACATATATATTTATCTACATATGCATTAGATGGATACTTATGTACATACATTTTCGTAATATTCATTCGGACATACGCTGTATGTAAATGCGTACAAACTGTATCATTATACGGTATATTATACTATCTACTGTGAAATATAATCATATAAAAGTATACAATAGTCTTGTAATTGTATATTCACATTACATGTAATCAGGATTACATGTAATCACGATTACATGTAATCATATATTTTGATTATTTGTAATCACGATTACAAGTAATTGATTACAGTAATTGGTTATGTAATCACGATTACAGTTGTAATCAAATAAGGATTTTAGTTGTAATCAAAATTTGTAATCATGATTACAAGTAATTGATTACTGTAAGTGAAAAATGTAATCGATTACATTTTGTCTCTACTTTGATGTAATCAAAAATTTTGAATGGAATTTGTAATCACGATTAATTGTAATCGTGATTACAAGTAGTTGATTTCATACCTGTAATTATCTGTAATCAATTACAATTGTAATCGACGGCCAACTCTGATTCATTTATATATATAATAATTTGCTTTTAAATGCAACACCTATATTTTTTTTTTAATATTCTTTTTAAATATTACGTATTTTCCCGTCTTTTAAATATAACGTAAACAAACGAGATGTTGAGATTAATTAACTTTTTAATGAGAATGGGTAAGTGTAAGTGTTTAATTAAATAAAATAAAGGAAGCTGGTACTTAACTAAAAAGGATAGGGTTTACGTTGTACTAGGCAGACAAAAGCAAAAATCCAACTTGAATAAAGCCCAAATATAAGTATAGAAATAGACATACTAAAGTACTGATTCGAAAAACAAGAACCGCAAATATAGTATGTCTATTTCTGTACTTTTTATTGTGCTTTTCACTTGTTTTTTCTACTCTACGATACTTAATAATACCTATTATTCTATCGCCATTACTATGTTCGCCAAATTTGAAAACTATCGCCAACGCATCAGTTTGGCACCAATATTGAATAGCCATTATTAGTATTACAAAAGCGATTCAGTCCATTCAGTTAATTTTTTTTTTAGTAAAAAGGCGGATTGTAGCGCATTTTTTACTAATTATTATTAATTGATTTTTTTCTCTGACAAAATCATCAAAATTTTAGTTCAAATTTTGATTTGCTGAAAAAAAATATTGACGCCCGGTGGCAAAGCGGAAGCGCTTCGCGCTGTCGTGCCACAGGTCCCGGGTTCGATCCTCGGGCCGGGCAAGGTTGACTCAGCCTTTCATCCCTTCAGCGGGTCGATAAATGAGTACCAAGCATGATTGGGAACTAAACACTGGGGGTTTCGCGTTCGGCTGACCACCTAACCGGAACATCTGCTCCTGCACCCCAGAGTCCAAAGGTCAAGAAATCTGAAATGGGCACAGTAGGCTTTAGTGCTATGGGCTGTCACACCACTGAGTTTAGTTCAGATTTTACGGTAAAACGGATTTTTCAGTGAAAAGGATCTTACAATATAATGGATTGGCCCTCTGTGGGCTGTCGCACCGCTGAGTTTAGAAAAAAAATATTAGAATTTGGACTCAAAATCCTCCTTGTAATCAATTACATGAGGAAAACAAATTTGGAAGTCATCATAAAGAATTTTGCGCGATTTTGTTAAAAATGATCAACGGAATAATGAAGTACCAGAGAAGGTAGTATGAGTTAGATACATTAAATCAACAACAATATAAAAATACAATAAACACTTTTTTTTTATCAAATTCAATTTTACAGGATTAGACAATCTGTGATGACAAAATATCTTCTCCAAAGTGGCGGGAGCACCTATCTGGAAATGACTTAATATATAACTTAAATATACATTACTTAATATAGGTACTTATTAAAATTTCCTATAATGTAGTGCAAAAAAATATTTAATAGGCAGAAAAAGCATACTGATTAAGGATATTAATAATCAGCTGATAAAAAACATAAACGCTATCAAAATCTGCCGAATAGCTTGTGAGAAAGCTGGGATGAAAAACATCAAAACCAGTTTGATTGCCAGTTGAATCTCCAGTCTGTATTTAATAATAGTCTTTCAACAACTTTTTGACTCTCTCGGAAATCAAATGTTTCAATATTTACAATTTTAGTGATATCTTAAGTTTTTAAATCATTTTGGTTTTTATCCTCGATTAAATATCCATGTGCAGCACCTACTGTACATACTTTTTTTGTAAGTATATATTAAGTACAGTCAATAAGGAACATCCTGAGTATTTCTCAACTTAAAAATTTTATTATGCTTTACTTATTTCTTTTTAAATTTCGGGAAAAAATGTATTTTTGGAAAATTATAAGCTTATTTAAAAATAGTAATATTAATTAAAAACAAAAAACATTGGGTTAACCCTAAACCTGTATTTTATTCTATGACCGAAATGTAAAGTACACTATAAAACCATTACAATTTGCAAAAAATGCTGAAAATTAAAGTTTAGCACCTTTTTATGTAATAATTAAAAAAAAATAGAAAACGTTTATTAAATTTAAATAATTGAATTTTTTAAAGTTATACATATTTCTAAAGGTCTGGTTTCTTAGGACAAGCGCCTTATCTGGGCGTCAGCGGGACGTCAACGTCACGCTGACGCCAACAAAATACTGGTTTGTTAGCTCAAGGCCTGGTTTCTTAGAACTAGCGCCTTATCTGGGCGTCAGCGGAAAGTTGACGTAGATCTGACGCCAAAAAAATACTTTTTTGTTAGCTCAGCGTGAGCAGTCGGTCCAACGCAGATATTATCTCTCATTGCGCATGCGTTAATAACGTAAACAAATATTTATTTTGAATTTGTATTGATTTTGTTATTGTCGACCAGTGTTTTAGAGAACAAATAATGACTTTGTCCAAGAAAAAACACATTATAGCTGAGCTAAATGAAGAGTGCTATGTTTAATGAAGAAGCTATGTTTAATGAAGAAGCTATGTTTAATGTCAAAATCAAAACCTTGGCTGATTTCAATGTGCTGTTGGATGTTGTCCGCCATTGCTTCTGTGGTTAACGTCACGTTGTAATCCAACTGTAGTTGAGTTGGACGGCAATTGTAGTTCAAGATGAGCGTTCGATGACGTATACTATCAAACTCACAAATGGACCAATCAGAGGTTAGCGCTGATTTCCAGCTGACGGCGTCCTGTCCTAAGAAACCAGGCCTTAAGTAAAAAATTTAATTTTTTCTGCTATTATTTAAAGTTGAGAGCCATGGAGATTTAACCATAAAAGCAAAATGATTATAGGATAAATTGGTTCTGAGTCCCCCTCAAATATTAGAAATCTCTAAAATTCCCCTCAATATTTAAGACAAACAAAAAAAAATCTTCGTCAATTAGCATAGATTTAAGTTCCTTAGAGTTAAAAACATGAAAGAGATATAAAAGAAATAATAATAATCTTTTTTTTTCAGGTATTTAGCACATTTTATTTATTTTTTTTTCCCTTCTGTGAGAAATTTAGAAAACTATCTCGACTATGTAATTTAATTTCGCCCCCCCCTAAAAAAATTAAGCCCTGGTGGCGTCTATGTTCCTGAGTTACAAATGAGTTGATGTTGAAAAATATAGTTTCCAAATAAACGCCATTGAAGTTTGAATTATCTCTTGTGCAAGCATGTCACACAGCTCGTCAGACTCTATAACTTTTAGGTATCACAATATTAAAATCCCTTTTTTTTTAACATATATTTTACAAGATCTAAGGAAACTTTTTGCGTGACTATACAAATAAGAACAGGTTTTAATTTCTAGATTTTTTTAAACTGAAGTTTGAAAAAGTTTCTAAATGAAAATTCGAATGTAGATTGATTAACATAAAATTTAGCTATGAAGAAGATACATCTGCTAATAGTGAGCTTAATAATTAATAAATTTTTCCTTTAATAGATCTAAATTTTTAATAGTATTAATAATGTAGCTTCTGTTAAACGCAAGATATTTTAATAAGCATTTCAATAAAATGGTGGTATATTAAATGAAAAATCATATACTAAGAAGGTTGAATTTTTAATCATCCGATAACTCTTAATATAATTTATGTGCAAATGAAACACACCTTGGTACAATTTCTTAATCTCTCCAACAATTGAGAATATTTATTTTATTACCTATACTGGATAGATGATTTATAAAGCTATATTTGCTGTCCTTAATATTGCGATTATATCTTCGCATAGTAATAAAATAAAGTATCTTAATAAATTATTATGCAGAAAAAGTAATTTAATAAGATAATTAATCTTCAGTATACCCTCAAAAGATAAAATATCTCCCAGATCACGCCACAAAAAAATGTCAAATTTGCTTTCAGGAAAAAATTATTCTGAAAAACTAACAAGTATTTGTATTATACGGAGAATAAAACCACGAAATTCCCCCTAGATAAATAGTTAGTCAGACAGTAAGAGAACTTTAACCAGACTGGTTGGAAATTGAATTTATTGAGTTAACGAATACGAAACAAGCTTTCTTATAAAAATTTAGTTTAAAGTTACCAATGGTCAATTTTATTTAAGCATGCTTCCTTTAAATATAAATCACCTTAAACTAATGATAAAATGCTCCAAAATGAGTTCTTTTTTTCGGGGGGGGGGAGATAATAATAGAGTATAACTCGTTAACCACCCCCAGAAAAAACTGCAACAGGTTTTTTTTTTTTTTTTTTTTTTAATTTTTTCCGTTCTTACCCGATTAATAATACTACTGTAATGAAAAAGCCGGGTACCCGGTAATTTTAACAGATAAAAAATTTACTCAAACAAAATTATATATATAACATGAATAAATAATTACTATATGTTTTAAGATTACAAAATAGCTTTTAAACAAATTTAAAAATAAAGTGTTAGATCATTAAATTTTGAATATTTTTACGTAATATAAAAAATTATTTTTGTTCAAAAAACCTTTTAATCATTGTATACGTTCAAATTACATAAAAATAAATAGAAAATATATTTTTCATATCCTTGTCCAAAAAAAAAATAAACATGTAAATGATTGCTATTTAATATTTAAAAAGAAAAATATAACCATATTGAAGTTTAATGGATCACTACTAATGAATTTGCCAGAGGAAACGATTATTAGAAATACCTCATATTGTTACGTCCTTATTTGAATATTAATTTGTAACTCTTTATATATATATATTATAACTAAATTTTGGCAAGGATGTTAAAAATGATTTCGTACTAGACTTTCATAATATAAGTAATTTCAGCTATTTATTCTATTCTTACCATCGGTAGAACAATCGTTTTACTCCTAGATCCATGGTTTTAATCGTTCCAGTCGCAACGTTTTCAGCAGCCGTGGTCTCGATACGTTTTTTAGCAGTACTTATTGAGACTTGTTTCAGAGCATAAGAAGCCAAGCGGGGATCAGAATTCAACAGAGTATCCCACGAATCTGTGGTCTCGACTTCTTCAAAATTTTTGCAAATGAAATCTATTGCAGTTGCTTTTAATGCAGCATCGTTATGCATATCTGCTAATTTCAAGATAAGAGCTACAGTCTTATCAGATAGGTAACTAACAAGAAGCTTACTGCAAGTTGTTACTAGAGTCTCTACTGCATATTTGTCAGCAACTGAATAGAGAGACATAACTATATCAAGTTTGTTGTTTTGAATGGTTCCTGTATAAAGAAAGCTCAAAAAAGCTTCGAAGACCGGCTTTTGTATGTCAGTAATTTCTACTGTGCTGTCTTTGTTTTCCTTCATATTTTGCTCGAACATCTTCTTGAAAACTACAGACCTCGAGCACAAAATATTCTTGTGTGCGTGCAGTATATCATCACCGATAAGAAACTTAATGTCAGCATAAAAATTGTTTTTCAACAAGCCCTTCAAATCGCTCTGAAGTTGACTAATGTTTTCACACAGCGGTTGAGAAACAATATTTTCTTCATAGCATTGAAAAATAACACTTCCCTTAATAATAAATTTGCCCTCCTGAAAATGCATTTCATAACGTCTTCCATCAGATAACAGCCCGTAAACAGGCTTATATAATGGCATTTCAAAACCATCACATTCATACTCCTCATTCAAATGAGAAAATCGATTCTCTATCGAATCCTTTAAATATAAATGTCCATTATTATCTCGGATTTCAAAAAATAGAAATGTTTTTATCACACTATTTTCAGCATTTTCTTTCATAACAACCTTCACTATAAACATAGGATTTCGATTTCTTCTAGTATCACATTTGTAAACAATTATTTGAAATTTAATTCCACCACAAAGTTTCGAAAAAAACTCTTGGCAAAAGCCATCAGATAAATATCCATCAGAGAAGTAATTTCTTACCGTCCATTTAAATTCAAAACTATCTGACACTGCTTTTGACGCCGTTATGCTACTAGAGAAATCGTTTTCAGCCATCTTAACTTACTAAGCACTCAGGAAAATATCATAACAAGATGAATAAGTTGATTTGGATATTTTTCGGACAGACTGCTTGCTTGATAAAAACAGAGAGTAACTCTTATCTACTTTCCTCCAAGATCCAAACGAAGATTAAAAAAAGGGGTTTCCTTTTACTTTAGTTTCCTTTTGATAAATGTTTTGATCCTAGTTTCCTTTTGATAAATGTTATCTTTAATGACATCTGACACTTCCTTTTACGTTTTTATTAATTTGTTGCTTATCAGACATAGGTTTAAAAATGTAATAAATAAAAATAAGTATAACAACGTTATATTATAGTGGTGTTAAACTTTTCAGTAAATTGGATGAAATAACTTTGATATATTTTGTAAAAATACTTATTAACTATTGGAATCTATTATATTTGCCACAACCAAAAAAATCTTACCTTCGAGAGTGGTTAGTTAAAAATTAAACCCTGTAGGTTAAAAAAGGAGAAAAAAAAGCTTTTGGCCTTATGAAAATTATTTTGATTAATATTTATAATCATGGGCATCACAGAGGTCTATTTTTTATGGTAATATACACAGTCACATTAGTTCCCTATTATAAGAAGAAGAAAAATTCTTAGATCTGCTAAATATGTAGAAAAAAATTACTTATTTTAATATCTTTCTTGCTTTTAACTTTGATAAATTTAAAACACGTGAAAAGTTTTCTTATTTGCCCGAAATATTAAGGGAGACTTATAAATATTTCAATTATTAACATATGTCCACCAACGACGACCATGTTTATAATTAAGGTAACAAAAACAACACTCGTATGAATATTTTGACTATTATCAAAATCGAACACAGAAAATTGTTGAAACTATTAAAAAATCGATATTAATAATAGCGTAAAAACTTAACTCATTCATTAGAATGAATTAAGTTTTTACGATAATTAGATG